TTTTGATAAATAAACTGTTTAGTACAGACGCGCCGACAGAGGCAGTACTAGTCTTTTGTTTGTTAAATAATTATTTGCACGTATTTCACTTAGTTTATCGTGATTCTCTTTAATTTCTTACCTCGTATCTTTATTCTTACTCTTCTGTGTGAAGGAAACCTTCTGCTAAACCGTGATATTGTAGGTGATTTACCCGCGATCTAAAGGAACTGGCATAACAATAGTCATACCCTTTAGGATCAAAAAAGTGTGATTATAATAAAAAGTGACTATATAGGGGATTTTTATATATTTTTACTAAGTGTTGGTTCTGAAAGGGTATGACTATAAAAATACTGTGATTATAAAGGGATTTTTTATATAGCATTAATAAATATTGGTTCTTACGAAATGTGTGCTTATAATTTATATGATGTGATTATACAGGGGGTGACTATAGAGGGGACGACTGTATTTTCAACTACAATAATTTCTTTTTAATTATTTTACAATTAGTTGAACGAAACCATCATTATATAAAGAATCAAAAAGAAATTTAATCTTGAACTTGACCTATTTTATAAAGTTATTTTTTTTATTACATGCATTCAAATTATAAATATCTCGGAGGTTAATTTTGCTGGCAACGGGTAAAAAAATGCCATTTAATCGTGTAACAATATCTCGGAGGTTGATTTTGCTGGCAAACGGATAAATAAAAGCATAACAATATCTCGGTTAATTTTGCTGATAATGATACCGTTTAAAAAAATAAACAAGAGATTAAACGAGTCAATTGTAACAATAGTAGTAATTGCTTTTTTACCAAAAATTATAAACCTCGATTTTGCTGGCGACAAACCCATATATTTAAGTTAAATAATAAGAAAGGGGAAATTTTTTTAAAGTGGGAACAGTTTGCCAAGTAATAGATAAGGAGAAAAGGCTGCTTTATGCTCGCTATTTAATATATAAATTTATTATAATGAAAAAATTATAAAATAAATTATTTTTAAACATTTCAAGATTAGTCAAGTAAAAATTATAAAAAAAAAAAAAATTCTGCTGTCATGTGATATAAAATCCCAAATTATTTAACCGAAAATTTATTTCTAAAAAATTTTAATCTCTTTCTTTCAAAATTGAAATTCGATGGTTCCAAAATATATTATTGGTATTTGATCTTACTATCAATTTATTTATTTTTTTTTTAATTGAATTTTATCATTAGAAATATTTAAAAGTTTACTAAAGTTTATTAAAATTTTAGAACATATGGAAGATAATTTGCACGAATGGTGCTTATTGGAATATTGTCATATAGCAACGGTTATAAATCCTCATCATCTATACTTTACTAATTTATCCAAATCATCAGAAACGTTACTTAAAATTCCTGAAATTCTAAAAGATGCCAATTTTCTTACAGAAAATGTTACAAATATGAATATATCAATGGATAAAATCTGTCTTTTAGATCCCGCCTCTAATCAAATGTTAGAACCAACGGATGGGGACACTTTTGAATATTTTTTATTTGGTGGAATACTTGGAGATGATCCTCCTAGAGGTTGGTTTATTAAAATGTAAATTAATAAATTAAAATTATATATTTGATCATTTCGGGTATTCCTCTTTTGTTCAGATCGCACAGCCGAGTTAAGACGTCTTGGATTTCCTTCGAGAAATCTTGGTGAGATGCAAATGACTACAGATACCGCTCTATACGTAACAAAGAAAATCGTAGAGGACAAAAGTAAGTGATTTATTCTCTTATGCAGCTAGATTTTCTTTTAACCATTGAAAACGATAATCTTTTTTTTTTTTTTTTTAAAAAAAAAAATAATAAAAATAATAATCATATAAAGCATCGATTAATCAAATCCCTTACATTGATTTTCCCGAGATAAAAATTGATAAAACTGAATCTGTGGTAAGTATTCAATATTTAAGATAATTTAGCAGAATTAGTTATTTATTTAAAAATGTTTAAACATTTTTAGATTATGCCTTTTCGTTATGTCGCGATACCTGATGCTCATCAATCTACTTTACAAACAACCAACAACGAAATGAAACAAAACATCGTCCCATTATTACCTTCAGGGATGATTGAGTTATTAAAAAAAGATGGGGATATGGCATTTGAATTTTAAAAAATATGAGTAAGATTAATTAGATTCAAAATCGTAATATATATAACACTACTTCTGAATAAATAAATAGCGAGGTGTGGCGCAGTTTTATTAAACCCATCAGTATTTATTTATTTACAATTTTTCATTTAATTGAACATTAGTATTATTTTTCAATCCCTTTCGAGATATAACGTATTTCTTTTAAATCAAATCAAAAATATTAGAATAAATCAAAACACACATGCGCGCACAACAAAAAAAAAAAAAAAGAAAAAAAAAAGGCTATCTATCTATATATATATATATTTTTTGCTTCCATCAAGCATCGATACCTTTTTTGCTCCATGAAAATATGTTACCAAATCCCAAAACCGAACGAAATGATTGTAACGGGGATGAAAAGACTGACGATATAGAATTATTACCATCATGAATGTTATTTACAATTACTTGATCGTCTTTCAATTCGATCATAGGATGTTGCATATAATTATCTTCAACGATCGCTTGAGTAACAGAATCTGATGGTGCACACTTAGTATTGCAATTTGAACGATTCCGTATCCTTTTATCATTAAAATTTTCCGACTCAACATTCCTTTGTAATATTTGATCCGTAGACTGTAATTGATCCGCAGACTGAATTATAGGTTTCGTTCTAATTTCCGACTTGCATTCATTTTTACTTTTAAAATGTTCCATCCTTGTTTTTAAATTAAGTATAGGCGTTGATCTTATCGCGTAATTATCATCATGCGTAATGAAGTTATTTTGTTCGGACTAAGATGGAAAACGCGTAACATAATTAGATCAGAATATACACAAATCATGCAAACTTGTAATTACAATATCGAAACTATGCATTCCTACATTAATCTCCACGGACTTATTACCAACATTGTTTCCGGGAATATCATCTTGTTTAACCGAATCATCCTGAACTTTCCTTCTCTTAATTTCGCTTTCTTGTAACTCCAAATCCGTTTCTGGATTCGTATCATCCTTATTTATCTGATCGGAAAATCTTGGTCGATTAATAGGGGTATTCTTGATGCCAATCATCAACTTTCTTTTGTTTTGTTGTGTGGGATCATTTGTTTGAGTGAGGTCAGCTTTTTGAGTTGAATGAATCGAAATACTTTTATCATTCTGAATAGGTGCTTCCTCAGAAGTCTTTAAATGATCATCATTAGGAAGAACTTCGCTACCAAGGAAATTATTCATATTTTGATCCAAGGCCGAATCATTTTGTTCTGAACTTTCTTGAGAAAGTCGTGAACGTTTTGATGCCCTCCACTTTCCAAAAACACTTCCATTCCTTGTTCTTCTAAGCAAAGATGAATCATCAGTCGTAGGTAGTAGAGTCATGTCAGAAAGTTTTATATCAGAATTAGATGGGCTTGTATTAGTCGTATTAGAAGGATTAAGGGTATCTAATTTCGTTTCAAAACTTTTTGATGATTTTCTGCCACGTTTTTTTGTAGAAATTTCAAAAAGATTTGATATCTCAAAAGATTCTTTCTTGTCAGTTGATACGGTTGATACGGTTGATACAATTTGTTGTTCATGAAATGTTGTGGAAATAACATCTTTTTCAACTGTAATAATTGAGTTAGCTATTGAGGAGGTCATTTCGGAATTATTTAAAGGAGGAGTTTGTTTAACGCTATCATTCGAGTTATCGGAGCCAATTTTTTCCAATGATTTGTTCGGTTTCTTTTTTAACAAGTAAGTTTCACCATTTAAAGATTTTTCTTGATGTCCGTCATGTTCATCTTTGTCAACACTTCTTGAGGGTGGATTAGCATTTATTGAAGGTACGGCATGATGATGATAAATGGGAGTTTGAACCATCTTTTTGGATTTAGAATTTGAACCATGATTATCCGACCTTTTCGAATCTTTGGAATTTTTATTATAAATTATCCTTAAACGAACGGGGCTACTCGAACCGACCTTGGTAGGTTCCGTGTTAACCTTCTTTGATATTTCGGAATTATAATCACGTGTCGGTTTAAGTTTATTCGAAACTTTTTGTATCGCTCGAACATAAAGAGCCGTAAGTTTTTCAATTTTAATATCTGACAAGGAAATATCTTGACCGAGTAAATTGAATTCATAATTTGAAGAAATTTCTGGCAAAGGTTCGGGGTTAAAAGAAAGCCAAGACCTGAGACTTTTTTCAAAAAAAACTTGGTTCACGTTAAGACCAATCAGTTTAACCAAATATTTTGGTGAAAGGGAGTTCCCATTTTGAGGAGTTGAAGTTGGTACTATTCGCGCATAGGCAACTTTTCGTAACTTTGTTGTTATGTGCCTTTCAAGGACGAAAGCCGGCCAATATTTTATATGTTTGTTTGTTTTTATGGGAGCTTTACTTGAACTAGACTCGTTTTTAACTTTTATTGTAATGGAGTTGATAATAGTGCTCCATGGCACCCAAACATGGTCTCCAACACCGAATATAGCTACAATTTCTTCGACTTCAGACATATTGAAAACCGTCAAAAAGGATTTTTAAAAAAAAAAATGGTCTTTCGTTTGAAAATTTTTTCGAGTGGCTAGTTTAAAGAATAAACTACTTTAGGATGTCCCGTGATAATTCACAATTTGGGTTTGTCCCGTTTATACAAATTTGTACTGATCTTTGTATACAATTATATGATTATATGAGTGTGTGTAAGCAGATCAATTAGCTGAATCTCATTTGCTGAGTAAAGAATTATGTAAACACCAAGCATAGTAACGTTATTTACAAAAAAAAAACCACCAGAAAAACAATAAACTTATTGTCGCAAAAAATCCGCTATTAAGATCTAGTTTATTTTATTAATATATTCGCTTATTATTATTATTAGATATGTACTTTTTTTTTTTTTTTTTTTATATATCTTTTAATATTTGTGAAAATAAACTATATGCTATATATTAAAAAAAGTTTTATATATTGGAAAATAATAAATGATTTAGTATAAAAAAAAAGGGCGAATAATAGAACGATATAATAATTTTTTGGGGTAGTTCTTTTTTTTTTTTTTTTTATCTTTTTTTTTTTTTCCTTTAATATTGTATAATACAAACGAACTTCAGAAAAAAAAGGTTCATCCTAAACACGTGAATCTTTAATATTCTAGTAATAATATCTCTAAATTAGGTTATAACGTAATATTTTTGAATAATGTATATATATTAAAAAAGTTTATGCGTAATGCGTGGTTTTAAATTTTTAAGATTGTTTCTCTTTATCTGAAATAAATAAATAAATAAATTTTTTTTTTTTTGAAATTAGTAAGCGCAATGATAATTAATTGTACCAATGATAAAATAAATAAAATTTACCGTCTACTTTGTAGAGTTCAACTTGTTTTGGAATTTCGTTAATGATAGAAGACCATCGATGATGTGAAACTAAAAAGGTCAAAATAAGTTGAAAAGGTTAATTTTTTGTGATCGTAGAATGAAAATTAATAAATAAATAAATATATATATTAGGTAATACATACATTGTCTTTGATTCGCTCTTATCCTGTCAATCATCTCTCTATCCATCTTACCCAAATTCATACCTTTGGAAAATCACGTTAAATTAATTTAAATACATCAAACGAAATTCTCAAAGTTCAATTAAAACGTTGCAATGTGAACTTACTTTTAACAGATTCTCTTCGAGAAAGGCCTTCTCTGGCTCTCTCTTTGCCTTTGTCAATATTACCAGTGTCGGATGGAGGCAAAGTTGAAGACCTGGAAGGGTCTTTCTTAGTATCTAAGATGTATAATGAAAAAGGGTTGAAACTTTTAGAATTTATTTATTTTGAAAGTAATGGTAAAACCGAGATAATTAAATGCACGTACTCTGTTTCCGAACCATTACATGTAGCTCTCCGGTTGTGGAGTCAAAAAGCGTAAAAGTATCTGAATTTTGAGGTTCGGGTAAATTCGGATAATGTAGCAACCGACTCGTGTAGAAAGCTTGTGGGTGCACAGCACCAGAATTCGTGATGACTGACTTTACAGTGCCGGTCCTAACTTTCTTAGTTTTTGGACCTTGGAATGGAGCTTTACCGTCAGAAAGGAATCGCCATTTGTAAGAGATCTCTATTAATTCGTCTACGGTAGGTCGCTTTGTTGGTTCGGAATCCCAGCACCGAAGCATAGCGGCCACATAACATTTAGGTGTTCCAGAAATAATTGGAGGTCGAAGTCCATTACAAATGTCACGAGCTAGAGAATAATCATGAGCACGGTCTGCAAACGGTGGTTCATTAGAAGACATCTCCCACATTATCATGCCCAAACTGTAAATATCTGCAGATTGCGTGTAAGAAGATCCTCTTAACACCTCAGGGGCCACATACGGTAGTACACCGTATATTTTCTTTAAATCATCCGTTTCGTTCTCAGGTCGACACATTCCTAAATCTGTGATGTAAACAAGTTTTTCATGTCGCAATATATTTCCACTTTAAATTGATTAAAGGAAGGAAGATTTAATGTTGAATGTTAATTCCAAAAAAATAAATAAGGAAATAAGATGATTAAATAAAAAATTTCCAAATTTAAATTACCTATGAAAATCTCTGTGTACCATTCCTACATCGTGAATGCCCTTAAGACCTTTAGCAATGCGATCAAATAATATAATCTTCTCATCCCATGATAATTCGGTAAAAAATTTTGTTAAATATTTCCTTAAGCTCCCATGGTCTGCATATCGCATTACCATTACATATCGATTGGTTTCCGGATCTTTACTAACACCATAGCAATCGACAATCCCTGAACCAAGACTACATCTATGATATGCTCGAACCTGTAAAATAATGACAAAACGGAAAAAAAAAAAAAAAAAAGAAGCAAAGGAGCAGATATTGATAAATATTTAAATCATGATATCAATCAAGAATCATACACCCCATAAAAAAAAAAAATACGAGATGAATATCAATATTCTCACCTCTTCCAAAAAGTCACGGGCCAAGTTCTCCGCTTCATCAAGAAATTTAAGCGCCACTTTACCCCATGCTTCAGATTTCGCTGAAAAAACTGAACCCAAACCACCTTTCGCTATAAACTTGAGATCCGAAAAACTATCAAAGTTAATCCAACGAATATAATCGTAAGGCGTATTTGCGTTTATTTGGGTATCTCTGATAAACTGGTCTAGTTCTTCATTTCCGCTTGTCCAATTCTTAAATTGAGCTATGAGTTTAGCTGTATTGCATGGTCGACACCAGCCTATCCCAGTGCGCGTCTCTCCGCATTTTGAGCATTTACTTAATCCTTTACTTTTGTTAAGAGACGGTGAACGACCAACACTAGGTTTTGAAAAGGAATTAGGAGGTATAGGTATACCGGCCTCCTTTGCTACATGGCCAAAATCGGGACAATAAAGATTAACAAGATATCAGGGAATAATAGAACTAATTTTACAAAAATATTTAAGGCTCACCTAGATGCTTTAGAGTAGCCGCGTAGTCCATTTCAGAGAGTTCTTATTATGATTTCAATGGCGCAGTCAGAGTAGTTTTTTTTTTTTTTTTTAAAAAAAAACAATAGCTTTTATTATATTAACTTTAGTAAAGTCCAAAGTGAACGAGATAATATCGTTGTTCCGGTTACGATGAGAGAAAAAAAAAAAAAAAAAAATATGAAAGGGTATAAATTTATTTTTTCAAGAAATAAATAAATTTAAAACTGATTTGAAGGTTGAATTAAGAGATGGGATGGTAAAAGTATTGAGTAGAGGTTGCACTAGAAAAAAAAAACCCCCCCTTAAAATATCCCTACTTATGTCTGTTTGTGGCAAAAAAATGTTTTGTTTGATTCACTCGTGCTTCGTTACCTTCTAAACTTCAACGGGTATGATCACTGTCACGCAAGTGTCGCAATTCATATGAAGGGCTTGTGACACCACTTAAATCTATTCTTTAATAAATGTAATATATGTAATATATGTCTATATGGTTTATTTTATACGAAATTTTTTTCATATAATGAAACCATTACTAAAACTTTAATATCAGGTTTGAACATTGATTGGTCTTGAAAGGGCTTTGAAAAAAAAAAAAAAATACTTGTTCGATCTTATCATAAACATTTTAACATCATCATCATCACAATTTAGTAATTTACATCAGAATTTGGGTATTACAGATAAGAAAACCAAAGATGCCATTATAGTACGCCGAATGTCTTTTTTCATTGAGTAATCAAAGAAGCACATGCGACGCCCAAAATTGTGCCAAACCTTGAATGTTTATGAGCTTTCCAAAATAATAAGTATTTTTTTTTTTCAAAATTTTTTTAAAAAAAGAAAATAATAATAATGCAGGTTGGGCATGTTTCGCACGGCCCATTTAGCAAATCTGCGGTCGTGAGTTACAAAAAAAAAAAAAAAATATATATATGTATTATTTTTTTTTTTCGAAGGGGTTTTTTCTTTCTTCCTAAAAGAAGCACAATTTCATATAACCCAATTTGTTATTTTGCACTGTAGGTAATCAGCTCAAAACGTTTTAAATGTTTGTAATTCTTACCAATTCGGGAAGCACACGTTAAAAAAAATTAATGGTTTGACTAAAGTTTCAAATATCGTCATCAGGGGGCTTCAATTGTGTTTGAACCGCCCCAAAAATTCGTTTTCATTATATTTTTGCCATTAATGCAACAGAAGAGCGCAGTAAGAAATCATCCATTTCAAATATATACGTACGTCTAATTTTTTTTTTTTTGTTGACTTTGTATTACATTTGAAATCAGGTGAAATAATATTTGTAAATAAAAAATTTTTTTTTTTGCCCCAAACCTTGTTAAAAAAAAAATCGAACTTTAATCTAGGTAAAGGTTACTAGTGAAAAATTTAAATGGCAGCCAATTGAAATGTGACCTTCTACAAGCCAAGCGATTTTAACCAAGCAATGTTTGTCTAAAGGTTAAAACACGAAAGAAATGTAACGGCGAATCTTTCTTTTTTTTTTTTCAAAAAAATAAATATGGATTGCACTTGGAAACTGATTTGTACAAATATAAGTCCACCAATTGATATACAGATCCACAAGACATCTAAATCAAGAAGGCAAATCCGTTATTTATTTTGACTGTCACCTATTCTTTAATATAGTTAGGTGGTTTTAATATAGTTTTCGCATTTGTCATTATGACACTCAAACCTTAACCTAAAAGTTCTATTTGGAATTTTACCTAAATTATCAATTATGTTATACTAGAAATATATAAAACGCCAATTATACAATAAATAATACGATTTGGGAAGCCTGTTTGATGATCATGCTATAAAAGGTGAGATCTATTCTACAAATAATATAATTTTACGCTTATAACAATTAACAATCCGCATTGGTCCAGTGGTTAGGATTTCGCGCTTTCACCGCGACGGCCGGGGTTCGATTCCCCGATGCGGAAAAATAGAAAGATTAATTTTTTTTATTTTTTTTATTTTTTGAACCTTTTTGGACAGACATTTGGAGGAGTCATAAAGAAAAAGAAAAATATTACGAATCAAATAAAATTATCATATGTAATTATAGTAGTTTATTTACTTTTTCGAAAATTCTCGTAAATTGTTAGATGGTTATTGTCATCTAAAGTTTTGGTTTCATTCATCTCTTTTAATATTGAGTCAATGTGCTTATTATATATTTTTGTGCTTAAAATATCCTCCCTTAATGCACATAACCCGGATTCTCTTTTTTATTCCCAAACCACCAAATAAAATTAATTAAAGTATTCGTTCGCAAACAGATTGAAAAAAAAAAAATAAATACCTTATTAAGATTTCTAAATCAGCACCATTATACAATTTAGTCTTTTTTGATAGTTCAATTATGTTCACATTATCACCAAATGAAACTTTCTTTGATATAACTTGAAGTATATCAAATCTTTCGAATTCATTAGGTAATCCAATATAAATTAACTGGTCGAAACGTCCTAAAAACAATTAAGAAAAAAATTAGTTCTTGATACAAGTCTAAAAAAAAAAAAAATTACTTGATCAGTTCATTGCCTGGTCTAAGCAATGCATCATCAATTTGATCAGGCCTATTTGTGCATCCAATAACGAAAACTTGCTTCAATTCTTGTATACCATCCATTTCGTTTAATAAAGTACTCAATACTCTTTCATTAATTCTGTTTGTACCGTCACTGCCAAATTCTAAAATTTAACTTTATTATTATTATTATATTTTTTTTAAAAGAAAATTTTTTACTCTGAATCAAATCATAATAATATTTAGTAATCTACCTCTTCTTGATGCTATAGAATCTAATTCATCAATAAATACAATACATGGTATAATTTGTCTTGCTCTTTTAAATAAATTTCTTATGGCATTTTCGGTTTCTCCTAAATATTTTGAGTAAATCTTTGGTCTATGATTCCCGAAATAATTAAATATAAATCAAAATTTTCTCGGTTATAAGATAAATTTACAATTACATTCTAAATTTTACCCATTAATACAAATAACATTCATATAGGATTCAGTAGCTAATGCTTGTACCATTATAGATTTTCCACATCCTAAATAAATATTAAATATAAACATATTAATAGTACCGCAAAGAAAAAAAAAATAGAACAATATTAAAGCAGATTTATCCTAGCCTGATGGACCATAAAGTAGTATTCCTGATGGTGGCTCAACGCCTAACCTTTTATAAGCTTCATGTTTAATAATTGGCCATTCTACAATTTGTTTTATCTTCTTTTTTATACCTTCATACCTAAAAAAAAAAAATTCATAAATATTAAGTTCGGGTGGAAAAGAAATATCTTTGTTACCTACCCGCCAATTTCATCCCATCTTCGTTGTGGTAAAATTGATTCAAATTCAATTTTTTGCGATGGAAATATGATAGACACAGCATATTCGAAGTCATTCCATGAAATTATTCCTGATAAACTAAAAAAAAGAATGCTTTGTTTAATATCTTTTATGATAGATTTTTCTATATCGAGATCATGAATATTTTTCAAATATACATGCCCAGCGTAATCATCATTGCTTGATACGTTCTCATTAATCGTAAGCTTTGCCATATCCTCAACTAGATCCACATCATTACTGGCTTTCTTATTGAAATTATTAAGCGATCGTAGCATCGCCAATCTACATAATTCCTTTAAATCTCTTGGTACATATCCTGAAGTCATCTAATAGTTCAAGAAAGATATCAACAAGTAAAACTTTTTAATACACAAATAGGAAATTCATACAAATTAATCATACCAGACCAAGTTTTGTAATATAACTATTCATCATTTGGTGACATGAGGAAGATAATTTTAATTTCGACAAATAGAAACTTAATATTTCTTCACGTTGTTTCCTATCTCAATAATAAAAAAAAAGTAACCAAATTTATTGAGGTTGACTTAAATAAATGCATATTATAATAAAATAAGAAAAATCGTACCTTGACGGTATTGATAAGACTAAATCATGTTGAAATATTTCAATTTTACGTAATTCTCTTGGTAATTTGGATTTATCGCATGTAATACCAATCACAAACACCTTCAAAAAGAATAAATCGAATTACATATAAATACATCTTTGCTTGATTGAAAAGTTATTTGCATACCTGTTCAGCCTTGTGAATGTCTCGAATTTCTCTCACCAACAGATTAATAACTTTAGTTCTCCATTCACCTATAGAATAACCCTGCTCTGTAAAATATTAGAATATTCCAAAGAAATTAATCAAAGTAATTCCGGTAATGTAATTTTTGATTGTTATAAATGGTTCTTACCGCTAACAGCAAGAGCATCAAGATCTTTTATTACGATGACAGAAGGTATAGATAACATAGCCTTTGTAAACATAATTCTCAATGGATTCTCCTCATCTTCATCGATATTTTCGAACATATCATGCTTTATTATCATTGTTGTTAATGATATCATGAATAATGTCGCTGATAATTTATTACAAACATGTCTGTTATTATTAAAGATTTTTTTTTTTTTAGTAAATAATTATTTAAGCAAAAAAAGGGGGGGATTTCTTCTTACTGTATTAATGATTTTCTACCACTTCCGTGTGAACCTATGATTAATAATGTTCTTGTTTCCGGTATTCCGAGTTTTCTATGAATTTCAGTGTTCAAAAATGAATCACCTTGGGAGAGAGAAGAAACAAAAATTTAAAATAATTAAAAACACCAGATTAACTAAAGAGAGTAACTTACTTATAATTTGATAAAGAGAATCAAATTCATTAGTAAATCCTACGATCGGTGATAATTGACGTGGAGAAAATGATGATGTAATATCAACTTCTGTTTCATGTTGATCAATCTTAGCGATTAATGATGAATCCTGCACTTTAAGTACAGGGAGAGATTCATCATTATAAGATAATTCTACACATACTACACGAAACACACAAATTTGATCCATAATAACATCAGATAATAACGAATTATTGGATACCTGGTACATAACAAGTTACAAAACAAAATGGATAAGGTGAACAATGATTATAAATTAAAAAAACGAAAGGAAGGTATATTTTTATAACATATTACCATTTGTCCGTCAAAATGGCTTAAAATTAATTCATGCCAATCCGGTTTATATGATTTTGCTCTTTGGGATGATTGCATATACGAAGAATTTAATGATTTACTGGAAGGTATCCAAACATCACCATACATTTTTATCAAAGAAATTTTCTTTACAATGGGTAAATCATCTACTGGTGAAAAGTAAAGAGGGTTAGTTTATGTTACATTTTAATGATAAATTTACTTTATTCAGTGATATAACGGTAATTACTTGATATATCTAAAGGATGAACATTAACGTTTTCCAAAGACTCATCACTATTGAACACTTTGTTGAAAGTTAACGATAGCCACTTTGGTAAAGCAATTACATTTTCTTCCAATTCATCATTTACAACACAAAATAAATATAATTTTTGAGAAGAATTATTCAACGAAACGCATAAAACGTTATAACACTTAGAAGTATTGTGAATTTTAGAGAGAAACTGGAGAGTTGCTAAAGAGTTTGGATTTAATAGAGCTTGTTTTGGGTTAATTCCTTCCTTAATTAAAGGTATCATTATGAAAAATTTTCAGATAATCAAAAAGCAATTTTTTTTGAAGCTTTCAATATTTATTTATATAAATCGATAGTCGATCATATCCATAATCGGATATTTAAAAGTTTTAGTTTTTTGCTGGATTAAGCCCGAAAAAGGCTTTTCATCTGATAATAAAAATATTTTTATTTATTATTTTTTTCTCTTTACTGTGAAAGATTGATCAAATGGCGTTAGAAAAAGATTCTTATTCTCTGGAATAAACCTTCAGACTGAAATTTCATGAGAATATTAAGAGAATTCCTCAGTAACTTTGCGATTCATATTTCATCAATTGATTTTTTAAGTTTTGTAAGCCTAAGCTGAATCCTTGTTCGTAAAGTATCGAAGGAGAAAATTGTGAGCACCATCGATATCTCTGTCAAAAGTTATTTTCATTAAAGACAGCAAAACACGCCTAATTTTTTATGGATATAACAACAGAATCCACCACAGATGCTCGCGTGTCTTATGGATCATATGCTACACATAGCTCGAGCGGTCTTGAAACGATAAATTGTCGAGAATCTTTTTAGAATCTTTAAAATTTTTATGATTTGTAGCAAAGTTGGAAGCATATCCTTTGAGCAAATCATTCATAGCTTCATCTCAGTTCATTATTTTTAAAGTTTACGGCTTTGAGACACCGTGTCCATAAATCCTTATTATACTGTTTAACATTTCTTTTTCGACCGCGAAAAGGCATTGATTATATGGGGCATTTGCAATAGAAAAGGGGGAAACGGCTGGAAAAAATAAAAATTGAGTTCATGCTAAATCTGAACATATTTTGACCTAAAAATCATATTTGGCATATAAAAGTAAAATTGATTTTTTCCGGCTGTTTCCTCCCTTTCTATTGCAAAGGTCCCATATGTCCATCGTGCTGTTTAGCCGGTGCGTTGTACTTTGCCTGCTGGAAGTTTCTTCGCTACCTTCTTGGAATTCTTCTTGGATAGCATATCTTCTTCTTCTACGATTGATGGTAGAACGTAATCCATCGTGTCGCGCTACAAACAATGTGACAATTGCAAGATAATCTTCTCAAGTTCTCCAGCTTTGCTAGTATTGTACAAACATCTGAACCGAGTACCATGAACCGTATCCTTTTTTTTTTCAAAGATTCACTTAACGAGTTTGGATCTAAAGCGATACAAGGGGTCCTTTCGGATAACCACCATTTCTTCGATTCCTTTAGAGGATATTCGAAGGATAACAAAACCCCTGCACTTCCAATTGAATCCTGAACCGATGTCACTGATAATTTCGTGTTCTGGATACTCTCAAGTTTTTGCCTTTTAGTATTTTTATGTTCACAAGGATTTAAGGCGTTTTTTTTTTGACATTAGATCCACTTGATTGTTAATAAAAAAAAAAAGTGGAAAATGTGGAAAGAAAGATAAAAAAAGACGAAATATCAAAATTTTATAATGGTAGTGGCGAAATTATTAAAAAAATTTATCAAACATTTGCTTTTGTCAGTATGGAAGGATTTATCGGGTTTAGAATTAACCGCATGGATAAGAAGTGTCGCTATCATTGAAGGTAGTAAAGCCTTTATTTACCATTCGTCGTTATCCTTTGGTTTATTTCACGGAGTTCATGAAGATTTATTAAATCAGTTCACTTTATTTAATTATCCAACACTTTTGAGAGAAATATATATGTACATAAAAAAATATGAATATTTTATTAATAAATAATTTACTTTGTACAATTTACATTATTACTATTTCAAGGTAAACGTTCTAAAATTTCTAATGACAGAGATAACGCTCTCGGCTTTGTTATACATTTCATAACTAAATTTGATCTTGTCACCATCAAATTTAAATGTATCGAGACTTTGATATCTTTGAGCATATTCGATAAGAACTTTAAGGTACTTATCATCCATCCCATCAATATGTAATACCAAAACGTTTAACCTTGCGGGACAATTCTCCAATAAAATTTTTAACATCACGGGAGTCAAATGAAATGTTATATCCAAGTAAGATAAAGATTTTGGAATCGATTTTGCCATGTGAACGATCAATTCAAAAGTTAAAGAAATTTTTTTATATTCAAATAAATATAAAGATTCAAGGTTACGTAATGATGATAAGATGGGTAATAAATGCAACAGAGTTGAATAATCGATGGTTAAATATAGATTTGAAATGTTTGAAGTGTAAATCTGAATAAGATCAAGTAATTCTACCGTAACATTTTGAAATTTTAATTCCCTTAAATTTTTATTCGCCATCCTAATAATGATTCCTCTAACTAGGGTCAAAAAATCTGGATCATCTCCATGATCGTAACAGATGAATTTTTTTATTGAAAGTTGTCGTTTGGAACATGTTAAACCAGCGAAATCTAAATCCCTCTCATCCTGTTCTTTAATCGTCCAAAATTCCAATGTCACCAAATTTTTACATTGTAATAATACCGGTAATAATAAATGATATTGTGATAACCTGGTTAAACTTAGGTATGTTAAAGAATTTGATTGACTTTTTAATGCGTCAAAAAATAAATTCGAACATGATGAATTCCAAAATTCACAAATTTCAAGAGTTCTCAAATGATTTTGAGATTTAATCAATTCTAATATCGACCTACAATATTTGGGTTGAATTTGTTTCTTCATCCCAATCTCCAGAGCGATTGAAATATTTTGTAATTTACGATTACATAATGATAATTTGCTCGCAAATTGTGAGATCCTTTCCGCGCGTGATACCCAATTTTCATGAAATATCGTGTCCTTTAATTCTAACGTTTCAAGTTTGATAAACATTTGAAAGAATTCATTAGATGAATATGCGGTTAAAATATTTGATATCCCCGTACTATCATGATCATACTTGAGATGTCTTAAATTTTTTGAATGGGATAAAAGAAAAGGTCCCAAGATTTGATTACATAATTCCGTCTTGGATTTTAATTCCGTTGGACTTAATTTATCCATTACATTATTTGTGTTGAAGTGAAGTCCCGTCTTCCCTACCCATTGATTTATCGCTATTTGAAAATTTAAGCAATCAAATCCTCTTAAATATTTGGGGTAATCGAATAAAGGTCTCTGCGATGGTTTTGATAACCTTATCCCTTTACTCTCCAACCTTTGTTTCTCATTCATTGAAAGGCAAGAAATGTATATCCAAAAAATGTTTAAATTATTACCGTACATTGGATTTTCAAAAGGTCGAGACCAAAGTACGGGAATCGCCATTTTACACCAGGACCGATTAAGAAGTATGCATGAGAAAAGGGACGCCTTGTCATTCTTTAAATGTTTGCAAATTTCTTCTAGACAATCATAAGTTAATTTTGATGCGAGACTATCTTTCATGCTAATATCGTTAAATTTCGTTAAAGTGTGACGACACTGTTTATTAGGTTTAATAGTAAAATTGTGTGCCTTCATGACCAGCTAAAGCTTTTTTTTTTTTTTTTTTTTTTTGGAGAGGGAAAATTTTTTTTTGTGATTCATTGATACGCACCAATATTTTAAGCAAAATCGTCCGACGTACGTGGCTCAAGAAAAAAAAAATCAGATGTCCGATTCGATGCAAGATTTCATCACAGGTATGTAGATAGTTTATATATATATCACATGGTGAGAACATTTTCCGTTCTCGGATTCGTTACATAATCTAAGCTTGTATTATTTGTGTTCCCTGACCGCAGTAAAAAGTTCCAAAAATTCCAAAATTCCAAAAGAATTTTTTATCAATCTAATTTTTCTCATTACTGTTACACTTAATTATTTTTATAATTTATTTTAAATTTGACGATCAAACAAGTAAACAAGTTTTTAAAAATGTGGTTGCTAAATTAGACGTTGATCATCGGTGAAATAAAATATATATATAATTCTAATTTTCTATTATCGAGTCGCTACGATTCATTTTTTTTCCGCATTGCATGCATAATTCATTGAATTGGCATATCCTCGGCAAAAATATTTGCCTTTTGGTACAATAAAGTTTAGTGTCGTAACCTCAAATGTTCCATTTAGAAACGTATTAAAGGGTGCACCGCAAAAGATTTAAACTTTTTTGTAAAACAATCAATGGGAGGAAGACAATGCCGAATTCGAATGATTAAATTGTAATTTCGGTTAATTTGCGGCCCGCTAACATTCTTGTCGGACATGTTTCTTATAGGTTAGGGTTTTATAATATAATCGGGTGATTTCCGGCCCACCATGAAAAGTTTTAATGATAACACGACATGATAATAAGTTTTTTCTTACAATAAATAGGATACAATTTCCCTTTTCTTCATGGATTTTTACAATTCATTCACCTGTAATTAGTTTATTCTGCCATTAAATCCTCTAGATATCATGTCACAATCACAAGTACGCGAAAATGTTAACAAACCGACAGAAGAAACGGCTACGTTTACGTCCACTATAATCGAATTTCCCGAGACTGAAAATTCTGAAATCGATAATAAGAATAAGAATCATAATAATAATGAAAAAAATGAAGAATCAAATCATCGAGAGATGAATAATGAGGTCGATTTATCAGATCATGTGATAACTCCTCTTCCAAAGGTTAAATTCCTCATGGTGTTTGTTGGGTAATTTATTATTATTATTATTTATCATTATTTGGCTCGACGTTTCTTGATCGTAACTGATTATAAGGTTTTAAATTTCATATCAAGGCTTACATTCGGTATTTTCTTGGCCGCATTGGATCAAACCATCGTTGCTACTACTTTATCGGCAATCGCTATTGAATTCTCGGCGCTCGATCAAATTGCGTGGATCGGAACCGCATATTTGCTTACTGCGGTAAGAAACCATCATGTAAAAATTTTTTCGAATCTCGGGAATTTCTAACGCTTTTACTTATTCTAAAAAGACTGCATTTCAACCTACGTACGGAAAATTTGCGGACATTTTTGGTAGAAAAATGGCTTTTTTATTGGCGATTTTCTTATTTGAGATTGGGTCGCTCATTTGTGGAATTGCACCAAACATGGTAACTCTTCTTATTGATATGACTAGTCCTCCTTTATTTTTACATCGTTTATTAACTCTCGAATTTAAACTCGTACTAGGTGACTCTAATCATCGGACGTGCTATTGCTGGAGTCGGGGGAGGCGGTATCTTTGGGTAATATAAACATAATTTAATTCCCGTGATTGCTTTCTCAATATTTAAAACTAACTCTTTTGTTATTGACTTAGATTGGTTTTTATTATTATTGCCGACATTGTTTCATTGCAAGACCGTGGAAAATATCAAGGGATGGTTGGTGCTGTCTTTGGAATTGCTTCGGTCATCGGACCATTGCTTGGGGGCGCGTTTACCGAGTAAGTTATTCGGTTTGATTATATTTAATTTACAAAATTTAATTTGATGCGTAAACATATTTAACATATCTTGATTGACTTTTAGTTCGGTAACTTGGAGGTAATTATTATAAATACGAAAGAGTAAAGTTATGTTAGACTTCCGCGAAATATCTCTAATTCTTAATGTACCTTACTTAGGTGGGCATATTATATAAATCTTCCATTCGGTGCCGTGACTGTTGCTTGTGTGATTTTTTTCCTCCATTTGCCATATCCATCAGGATCAATCCTAGAAAAATTAAAAAGAATAGATTGGTGGGGAACAGTAGTTTTAGTTGGCGCAACGGTAGCATTATTATTGCCGTTAAATTGGGGAGGAAGTAGATATGAATGGAATTCACCAGTCATTATAGTTTTATTGTGCGTTGGGGTTCTGGGATTTATTGCATTCGGGCTCGTGGAAAAGTATATTGCGGTTGAACCAATCGCTCCTGGTAGGTGGAAAGAAAAAAAAAAAAAAACTCGGAACGATCTTTGAAACTTACCTTAAATTTTTTTTTTTGCCGTTAGGACGATTGTTTAAGGATATTACGGTCGTGGCGTGTTTCGGGGTAAATTTCTTCCAGGGAATGGCATTCTTTGGAATGGTTTATTATATTCCTTTCTACTTCATAAATGTAAGAGGCGTTACAGGTAATCACAAGATCAAAATGAAATATTTAAATTTCAATTTTTACCTACCGTGTCTTATAAAATTTCAAAATTTTCCATTTTATATATATAGCCACACAAGCAGGACTAGAATTATTGCCATTGATTTTAGGAGTAGTCTTTTCATCAATATTTTCGGGACAATTAGTATCACGTACAAGTATGATTTCATATAAAATAATATGTATCGTAGGTGGTATATTAATTACGATTGGAGCTGGATTGACGAGTACTTTTAACGAGACTAGCTCGAGAGCGGAATTCACCGGATATTTGTTAATTGGAGGTATTGGCATAGGTGAGTTTTGGAAGAGGTATTAAAAATAAGGTTCGAATTTCTAATTACCAACTTCAATAAAATTTACGTAGGCATGATAATGCAGACCACATTTTTAGCTTCACAGCAAGTTGTGGGTTATAAAGACATCGCTAGCGTTACTTCTTTACTGACTTTCTTTAGGACAAGTAAGTTCATAAATGATATATTCGCGAATATGATAAAATTCGATGTACTAAATCTACCGTTATTATTATATCTTACAGTAGGAGCGGTATTTGGCGTAGCAATTCTTGGTACAATTTTCACCAATGCATTAAATAGAAATTTGCCACAAGAATTCCAAACTGCTGGTGGTCAAGGATTTGGAGAAAAGGATTTAATGAATGTTCCCGAAAGTGTTAGAACAATTATTAAGCATGCATTTGTGTTATCTTTGAGTCTTGCATTTAAAGTTGTAATTGCGATGGGAGCATTGACATCGATTTCTGCATTATTTATGAAGAATATTAAACCTAGTATAATAAAAGGGTAGAGCTTGGTCATACCCAAAAAAAAAAGGTTACCCCGATTCCTAAACGGGTATTACCCATTTATACCCGGTTAGCATTTTTAATCATAATATATAATCTAAGTAAAATAAAACGGATACAAACCGAATATTACCCGTTTGTTATTCTATAATCCGGATACTTAATAGTTATTCGGCACGAAGTGGCGAATAAAAATTGATTCTCCGGTACCTCGTGATTTTTTCCGGGTAAATGGGTAACGAGTCGCAGCTCTAATGGAAAGTAAATCGAAATAGCATTTTGTATAATTAACTGCTGCAAAGTTGTACATTATAATAAAATTTGATTGTAAAAAAAGTTGATTTTTTTATTATTAAAATATTTGAAAATTAGAATTAAGTTTACATTATTTTTACTGTCATTTGAAAATATTTAACTTTATTCTATTTCTTATTTTTTTCAACCCTTTTCTTTTTATGCTTTCTTTGAACAGCCGCATTTCCATCATTATTTGATCTTTTTAACTTTTGTGATCTTTGAGAAACATCATCACTACGATTATCATCATTATGATTATTAGAGGAAGATAAAGATGTGTGACGACGTGATGGTTTTGAACGAGTTTCATATCGATGAGTAGTAACCACTTGTGCTTTATCCTTTTTAAGGAGTTGAGATTTAGATACTTTGGAAACCGATTTACCTTTGGCTTTTCGAGAAGGACTTTGCGCAACAGTACTTTGAGTATCTTGTTGAGGATTTTGAATGGTATTTTGTGAAAAGGAACTCACGATCGGTGACGTATCCCTAACCAAAGTTCCACCATCTTTACTCGAAACATTATCGTTTACCGCGGTTTCGGTGAATTCTTCAAGATCGGAACTAGTATCGTTTAATAAGTCAATAATTTCAAATTTATCTTGTAATGTGTTTTCGCTTTTACGAGTTGTCATGGCGCGAATTATTTCAATGGTTGCCGGAGTTGAAAATACTTCTTCATTGGATCGTTCTTCCCTGGTTTGTTGCTCTTCTACTTCTACATAATCACAGATCGAATCCATTTCATCAGTATCATACTTTGAACAATGATATAAATTTCTTATGGTAGCTTCTCTTCCGCAATGGCATTTATGAATCCTTGGTAACGAAGAGGATTCGTTATATATATTTGGAAGAGGTGATGAACGATTTGGATTCTGATTTTGATTTTGATTTTGTTTCGACATGATAAATCGACCATGTAACGACTTTAGAATGGAGAAAGGAATATCATGTTGCGTTTTTATATTTGAACGTAACAAACACTTTTGTATTATCTCTTGATGATGGAATTGTATTTTTTTTTTAGTTCATTTGGAATAATACGATTTTATATTTATATTGTCCTTGGTGTCCTTGATGTTAGTTAAGTCAAGAAATACAATACACGATTTCAATTTATAACTCAAGTTTTCGTTTTTCAAATATTTACAATACACATTATGTTTTTAGAATAAACTTTTATGCTTATGTCTGCTTGTGAAACTGTAACAAATGCGCACGCACGGACGGTCAGTAAACATGTCTGTCACACAATACAAAAAACCTTGGCGATAAATATCTCTGTGTTTATGTAACCAAAGATCAAATATATTTTATTAACATAAATTTATACCTTTTATAACAAAGGTGCTAGCAGGAAATTGAAAATTACAAATAATTTATTATTAATTAATATTGTATGTTCTATATATATAAATAAATTAATGTTCAATGTTTAAATGTTTAAGTGTAATTGCCAGGAACAATAGATTGGCATCCATCAGTACTATGTCCGGTTTCACATAGACTGGCATCGGAACAGCAACGAATACAGAAATAGCCAATATCAGGTTCAATTAAGTTCACAAATTTTTCGTATCCACCACATGATGCACCTGGAGGAGAACCACCACCTTGGTTATCATATTGACCGCCTCCGTCAGATGTACTCAATCCGTAAGCTGTTGGATCAATGGTACCGGTGAATTGGACGTATCCCTCTCCGGTGCCATAGTGCCATGTCTGGATAAATCCGGGGGGAATCATATTTGCGCCGGGAGACTTTGGGTTATCTTGACTGCAGAATGCGATAGCATCACTTTCACTTGCGCCGATGTCACCTCCCACTGTTCGTGGAAGGAATGTACAGAGGGTATATTCATCTATTGTGACGACGTTCGCGTTTAAGTTGATAGCAGGAGCAGCGTAGTTATACGTAGCTGCCGTGAGAATTAAGAACAATGTCATTAATTTGATCATCTTTTTTTTTTTTTTTAGAAAATAAATCTTATGTATTAGAGGAGAGCAGTGAAGGAAAGTTTTGGCCCTCAAGATTTTGAAGCTTATATATAAAATTTTTTTTATTTTTTTTTTTTAGAACGGATCGATTAAAAATGCCAAGAAATTTATTGTCTTATGCATTTTTACATTGTTTTTCAAAAATAACTTTTTGAACGGGAGAATTCTTTTCTTGTTATGGTGTTTGTCCCGATAAAAGGTTGTAGATATATTTCCTAACAAGATGCCTTAAATTTTTAAGGGGTTGTAATTTAGTCCAAAAAAGAAAAGTTCCATTCTATATTTAGCTGAAATATCAGACATACCCTAATCAAGTTTCATTTTATTTTGAAAGATTCAAAAAAGGTTGTAATGAAAAAAAGCATTTTCTTCATACAACAATTTCACAAGCATTCTCGGATTGAAATTTTGTTATTTATAACTTTTTATTTTGGTTTAAAACTTTTTTTATAACGTAGTTCTTTAGTTGATCTTGATGTATTTAATTAATTACAAAGTATTTAATTAATTACAACATGAAGAACTAGACGAAATCAAATTAAGGTTATGATTCTAAAAAAAAAGAAAGTATTTTTGAAACTGATCTTCTTCCATGTTGATAATTAATGTCATATTATTTTAACTCCTATATATTAAAAGGGTTTTGACGATAATGACGTATATTCAAAATGAAGACTCATCTTTCTAAAATGAATATCATGTGATAATTACAGGTAACAGGTTAACTATTATTTATTAGTCCGGAACGAATTGTAAGGACCATATATTTTTATATGCGAAGTGTCCCGATGTTCCGGACTTAACAACGTCCCCGTTCCCTTGTATGAATAAGATATGGATAAGATCTGAACTGTTTATTTTGTGACCATGTGATCGCCATTCATAACTTAATTGGCGATTTAATAATTTATTTATAAGTTTATATCTAATTGGTGGTGATGATTAATTCCAACTTTAAATAAATTAAAAAAACGCTTGATATAATGAATATCTGAAATTTTAGTTTTTAAATTAATTTTATACTATATACATTTGATCAAATTATCTACTGTAAATAAAAAAATTTTTTAACTAAAATTAGATTTCTCATTTTTTATTGACTGCTATCTATTTGTTTATCTTAAATTTAATATCTTATATTATATTATTATTTAAATTATAATAAGTAGAATTAGCTTAATTTATTATAATTTAAAAAAGTTTTAATTAATTTACCTTTTATAAAATTTACTATAATTTGTTATATTTTATAATAAAATTTTATGTTAATTATTATTTTATTGTAAAAGAATTATAGTAGATTCTCTAATAAAATTGAATTATAAATATAATATTATATATTCTATATAGGAATAGGCATTAATAAAACTTTAAAGAGGATTGTGAAATAAGAAAATAGGATAAATAGCTAAAATTTTGTATATATAATATTTATATATTTAATAATAAATTTAAAAAATTTAAAGTAATTTCAATTACTAATTTTTTATTTATTACATCTTTTGTAATTCTGATTATATTTTTTGAAAACTAAAATATAAAGATTATTTAATCTATTGAGTCATATAAAATATCATAACAATAAAAGTCTAATTAAATACTAAAATTTAGCATGATTGAAATTCTATTTATATATAAATATTACATAAAGTTTCATATATCATTTATATATTAAAAGATATATATTATATAAAGATATATCGAATTCTATTAGTTATCTGTATAATTTTACAAAATTATTCTTTGATTATTATATAAATTGCTTGTAAAATATAATTTTAATAATTTGCAATTTATATAACTTTTATTAAACATAAATTTTATTTTAAAAAGAATAATATAAATATAAAAATTTTATTTTAAAGCAATCTAGCAAAAAAAAGTATTTAAACTATTTAAACTATAATTTAAATATTTATAAGTCTTTGCTTTTATTAATTTATATTTTTAAGATATTTGGTTAATTTTTATTTCTAATCTAGATAAATATTTTGAACTTTTCCTATTTTCTTATTTTCTTTTTCTTCACTTTTTTCTTTAATTTTATTATCTTTAAAATCCTTTAATATAAATATGTTTGTATTTTTTCAATTTATTTTAAAAATAAATTACCATTTTTAAAATTTCTTTTTTTATAAAATTCTTTGTAATAAATATATTTTCTATTATAACATGTTAAATGTTAACTATTATGTAAATAAATACTATTCTATTATTTTTATTAAATAGAGAGACTTATAAGAATCATATAAGTTAAACTGTGATAGATGCAATATATTATAAACTGTTGGTAAATATCATAAATTTATATTTTTTTTTAAAGTAATAAGATAATAAAATTTATTTTTTCTTTTTTGTCTTATTAAGTTTTAGATTTATTTTTTTATAATATAATACAAATATTAAAAAAAAATTATAATAAAAAAAAAACTTATTTTTTATTAACAGATTAAGTATTAGTTTATTATATATATATATTGCTATATTTTATTATAAATCTTTAAATGCGAAATTATAATTTATTAAAAATTAATAAAATTTATAAAGACAATAAAATTTTAAGATAACTTATAAGTAATATAAGCTTGTTTTATAATATTATAGTTATTACATTTAGAAAGGTGTTAATTCTAATTTAACTATAGGTATTTTAATATTATATTTATTATAGCTAAATAAATGTGTTAAAATTACATTAAAAAAT